TCTTGACAAGACACAGAAGGAGACGTGAATGACCACGAGAGAACATTCGCTGTGTCGATCCGGGCCCGCCGGCTCCGCCACGCAACGCACTCTAAATGTAATGAGCCCTGCACGCGGCACGCAAGCTCCCAGTCAATAATATGCCGAGACGCATATTATGCGACACGCACCTGCTGTGTGCAGCGGTACCCGGTGTCAGTGCGACAGCAGTTTTACATCAGGTACCTACATGTCGGACCCGCGAAACGAGCGAGCGAGCAATATAGCGAAAGGCGGTGTCAGGTGGGATATAGTGCGGTATACATAGGTAAGCTCCCAGTCCTCTGTTGACAATTTGCAAACATAGAGTTGACTTGCATACGCAACTGTTAACAACGTTTCAAGGAATTCTCTAAAAAAAAGTTAGGGTAAGGGGCCCAGTAGTCGACAGTACACCAGTAGTCGACACTTTCAACTTTGCGATCGAATTCCCGCGAAGTAGTTAACGTTAGAGTCTCGGGCGTTTTGCCAGGCTTAGGCGCACTGTATTGAGATTACAATGAACCCATTGCCGATTCTGTGCCACCTCCGGGAGCCGGTAGGGAGCGCTTCGCAGAGAACACTGCTCGTCGCGTCACATCGAGCCATAATTTCTTAGCTCCGGAGTAGTGGGCAGGTGTTTGCTCGGAAGGTTCTGTGAGGCTGCCATTCGGCCGAGTGGTTCCGGAGGACGTTTGTGTTGTTGTCAAAGATATGTATTATCTTTCCCCATTTATGTTTTCGAAAATTTCGGTCAGGGGCGTAAATAATGGTGATGTCGACTACTGGGCCAGAAAAAGACACCTGTTCCAGTAGTCGACACTTACTTTATTTTGAGTGTGTGCTCCCGTCATACGGGCTTATTCCGACAACAAGGGCCCTTTGTCAACGTGAAATGTTGTTGGGATCGTGTGTCCTTAATTTTCTAGTTCGTAATACATCATGATGACATCAGTAAAGCACCAGGTGTCAATACTGTGCCGAATGATAGAGTTTGCTTTCAGTCGAGGGGTCGTCAACTTCGATATTCCTCCGTACACGGACTGATATTACCTCAAATATTACATTAATATTAGCCATATTACTGGTAATATTACCTCGATATTACACATTTTTCTAGTATTATGACGTCACAGCTTGAAAATTGGCTCAATATTACCAATATTATTTGTAATATTCAATATTCCTCCGTACACGGACAAGGAGAGTTGACGACCCCTCGCTTTCAGTGCCCCATTTGTGTAAAGCATTTCTCTGCGAACGTGCCCTGGTTGCCTGAGAAAAGTGTCAGCAGACACAATGGTCGAGGGGGGAGGGGGGGTTGGACCCCAATAGGGTGTTCCAGGCTATCTAAACCGGAAGTGAAAAAGAACAAACTCACTGATTTATCTGTTTCCGTCCGCCCAGTATGAGAAACTACCATGGCAGTTTGGTCCGATCCTAACCTCTCAAATATGAAGGGGAGCTCGAAACTGATCAGACAGTTTCTCACACCTGAAAGGCCTCGGAGGCACGTGATAAGCTCGACCAATCAGAGCCATTACGGAAACAGAGAGGTCAGTGAGTTTGTTCTTTTCCTACTTCCGTTTTAGATTGCCTGGAACACCCTCTTGCACCGCCGCAGTCGCGCCAGTCTGGGCGGCTGGCCGCTAGGGTGAAGTGCAAAACTGGGATTGAACAAGTATACCTGTAATAAAGTACTTCAAGATATCCCAAGCTTGCGACACAGTCCATTCTGACTCATTGTCTGACCTTCAACCCCTCTCTAAGGGTTCGAAGTTGGGTCATTGGTTTGGTCATTGAGGGCAATTGACACTTTTTACCCCCCTGGGCCGCCGTGGGCATAATCCCGGGAGCGGCTGTATGCGGTTCGGTGTGGAATTTATATAGGGATATAACTCAGGTGTGTCGATACGCTGTGCGATAACATCTTCAGCTTGCCCACAAGACATTTTTGGTAACAAACTAAGGTTTAATTACCAAGCTATTGCCGACACTTCCCGGTTTTCGTATGTCACATCGTGTCGTCCTATACATATACATTATTAGGTGCGCTTTGACGCAACAGAACTGTTTCGTTTTAGACTAATTGCGCTAAGAAAATTATTTTCCGAAATGTATTCAAAAAACGACGTTCTTTAGAACTAGAAAAAAATGTTTTTCACCATATTTCAAAAAAAGTCGCCTGAAGGCCGGAGAAGGTGAACAGCACCTCGCAAAGAGGGCCAAGAAGGACACCCCGATGGCCAAAAAGGCGACCGAGAGGCAGGGAAAGGATAGCCAGGCTGCAGGGACCAATCAGACATGGCAATCCGGGTAAAATAACAGAGTGTCGACTACTGGGCCAGGCAGTGTCGACTACTGGGCCAAAGGTGTCGACTACTGGGCCAATGAACGTTGTTCTTTGGTTTACATTTTTGTGTACAAAAATGTATTTTTTTCCATTTTCGACCTATGGGGCATAAAGTTTGATCCTTCCACTACACCCCCGAAATTTTTCCTTGACGCTACCGTACACCCTTGCTCCGTTGTAGGCAATTTTGAAAAGCCTTGCTCTTAAACTGTCGACTACTGGGCCCCTTACCCTACACTGCTCTTTGGTTAAGAAGAACTGATCTCGTAAATAGTAGCTAAGAAAGAAATCAGTATTAC